CCTAAATCGCTTTCATGACGTCCTCTCGAAGTTCGATATCTTATCCTCATCTATGGTAGAATTATGCTTCTTTAGTTAAGGAATTGGTGAATATGTAACTTGTATCTGACTGATGGTAGTCTCTTGCAATTGATCATAACGATGATAATGCATTACAGGACACCATACTTTATATAGTCTTACATAATTATTATCACCGCAAGTTAATTTTAAGCCCGGCTCATGGCCGTAACGAAAGAATCCTGCGTCCGCCGCACCGCGATATTACTTACGCTCATACGATTGAAGCGCCCGAAACGCGCACGCCCGGCTCATGGCCGTAAACGAATGAATCCTGCGCCCGCCGCACCGAGATGTATATACGTTCATACGATTGAAGCGCCCAGACGCGCACGCCCGGCTCATGGCCGTAAACGAAGGAATCCTGCGCCCGCCGCACACTTACGCTCATACGATTGAAGCGCCGAGACGCACACTGTTAGAATTAAATTCAGGCCCAGCTGCCTATATGTTCGAAGCATATATACTTGCCTATTTAGCCCATAGATATGGAATTCTTGTCCAATTATTTTTTTCTCTCTTCAGTATGATGGTACTCTACAGAACTCGCTAATCCTAACAAATCCATGTAATTAACACCCACTTACTTGATACGTTACCCTTCTCGTGACAAATTGTTGTTATTATGCTCTCATTTTTTCTTGCAACTTAGTAAGGTGATTGACAAACACATTATTACCATTCCCCTTAGCCCTTTTACTGGCCTGGTACACTTATATTTCAGCTTCTGAAGATGATTGACCCTCCTCGCTGCTGAATGTTGCACCTCAGTGCGAAACCTCCGCCGCACCCGCTACCTTGACGCGCAACGACCCAAGCGACCATCGGATCACCAGGAACCATCTGTAGATACCGAACAGAACCTGTATTCCTATCTGCTACTGCAGTGTTCAAGCGTTGCAGACGGCTCGAGGACGAGCCTTTCGCGCGGCCGAGCGATGTGAACAACACGTAGCAAGACCGGATAGCAGATTCACACCTCGGTCCAAGCAAATGCCTTTCTCCTTGCGCAGGATGCAGGTGCTTCCTTCCTTTCTCTTTTCACACAGGAATAAGCATCCGCCCTCCAAGGAAACCACCGCATAAAAGGGCACGTGCCTAAGACGACGGGAGACACAGAAGGAGACACGGCAGACAGGCCACACAGGGTCTAGCTCCACTACCTTGGGGGTCTCTTGGGGGTCTCATATCTACCTTCAGAAATAAACCAGCAAGTTAAGACCCCTTTCATTGACCACCTCAAGACCCTCTCTGTTACGCTTACATCTAGTGGCTTGCCGTGGTCACTTACGCTTACATCTGATGGCAGCGGTGATCAAGAGCCTCACAACGCCGACAGTAATTCACCTACCACTACGCTCCTTGCCGACGCTGAACCATGCTATCTGCCTACAAGCTACTGCAGTCGAAGTGCCTCCTCGCCTCCTTTAATGTCCAGCCATCGCTACCAAGTCTTCTTCGCACCATGTCTACCCTACTACCTCGTGCTGACCACGTCTGTGCTACCCTCCTGACGAAGTCCCTGACGATATGTTCTCGCACTCTACGCCGCCACACTCGCCAATCCGGTTCATCTACCTCGCTAAATCTTCACGAGCCTTCGTCAGCACAACCATGGAGCCGCCATTCTACTCAGCACCACCCACCTTCCTAGCTACTATTAAAAGTAAGTGTACCTATTAGTGCCAGATTAACTATTTCCCTCCCTATACCCACCCATACCTTGCATACAAGTTGCCTTCTTTCAAGTTCAAGTACATGCCACTCAACGGACACAAACTACTAACTATATAATACATCACTTCTCGCTGTCAGCCATTGTTTTTTTCAACACAACAAGCGAAGTCACACACTGAGATCAAACCCAAGTGACACACACCACACCTCACACCTCGTTCCCCTTCCCTAACCATACTTTAATTGTTATGGTATTTTTCTGCTATTGGTGTTTTATCTAATGTTTATATTTGTTGTCCTCACATTACAGTTCATTATATTTTACTTTTTCTTAGAACAAATAAGTATATTTAGATATGTTCGATTTTCCCCGTTATGTTATTTATATTTACTGCTACGATTTTTGTTTTTACCTGCATACTGTACCGTACTAATAAGTGCTTCGATTTCCTCTATGGATGTGCGTATATCGTTTGGTCTTTCACTACACCTGTATTTTCTTATACTTCCCACGCTAATCGTTCGCTTTTTCACACACAGGTTTAAGATACATGTCGATTACCTGCCTTAGGCCCAAACCCACCTACCTGCCCACCCTACACGAATTTCACCCTAGGATTATGAATTTTACTAAGTGCCATCCATAAGACTTTTAACTGAACCTAAATCGCTTTCATGACGTCCTCTCGAAGTTCGATATCTTATCCTCATCTATGGTAGAATTATGCTTCTTTAGTTAAGGAATTGGTGAATATGTAACTTGTATCTGACTGATGGTAGTCTCTTGCAATTGATCATAACGATGATAATGCATTACAGGACACCATACTTTATATAGTCTTACATAATTATTATCACCGCAAGTTAATTTTAAGCCCGGCTCATGGCCGTAACGAAAGAATCCTGCGTCCGCCGCACCGCGATATTACTTACGCTCATACGATTGAAGCGCCCGAAACGCGCACGCCCGGCTCATGGCCGTAAACGAATGAATCCTGCGCCCGCCGCACCGAGATGTATATACGTTCATACGATTGAAGCGCCCAGACGCGCACGCCCGGCTCATGGCCGTAAACGAAGGAATCCTGCGCCCGCCGCACACTTACGCTCATACGATTGAAGCGCCGAGACGCACACTGTTAGAATTAAATTCAGGCCCAGCTGCCTATATGTTCGAAGCATATATACTTGCCTATTTAGCCCATAGATATGGAATTCTTGTCCAATTATTTTTTTCTCTCTTCAGTATGATGGTACTCTACAGAACTCGCTAATCCTAACAAATCCATGTAATTAACACCCACTTACTTGATACGTTACCCTTCTCGTGACAAATTGTTGTTATTATGCTCTCATTTTTTCTTGCAACTTAGTAAGGTGATTGACAAACACATTATTACCATTCCCCTTAGCCCTTTTACTGGCCTGGTACACTTATATTTCAGCTTCTGAAGATGATTGACCCTCCTCGCTGCTGAATGTTGCACCTCAGTGCGAAACCTCCGCCGCACCCGCTACCTTGACGCGCAACGACCCAAGCGACCATCGGATCACCAGGAACCATCTGTAGATACCGAACAGAACCTGTATTCCTATCTGCTACTGCAGTGTTCAAGCGTTGCAGACGGCTCGAGGACGAGCCTTTCGCGCGGCCGAGCGATGTGAACAACACGTAGCAAGACCGGATAGCAGATTCACACCTCGGTCCAAGCAAATGCCTTTCTCCTTGCGCAGGATGCAGGTGCTTCCTTCCTTTCTCTTTTCACACAGGAATAAGCATCCGCCCTCCAAGGAAACCACCGCATAAAAGGGCACGTGCCTAAGACGACGGGAGACACAGAAGGAGACACGGCAGACAGGCCAAGCGATACAGGGTCCAGCTCCACCACCTCGTCCTCCACCCGGGGACACGGGGGTCTCTTGGGGGTCTCATAACTATCTTCCGAAATAAACCAGCAAAGTTAAGACCCCTTTCATTGGCCGCCCCAAGACCATCTCTGTTACGCTTACATCTAGTGGCTTGCGTGGTCACTTACGCTTACAGTGTGTGTGTATGTGTATGTGTGTGTGTGTGTGTGTGTGTGTGTGTGTGTGTGTGTGTGTGTGTGTGTGT